GGCGTTGCGTGCTGAGACGTGTCGCAATTTCGTGTTTTTGAGAAGGAGAAGTCACAAGTGATCCCTAGCTTTTTTGCTGAGACGTGTCACAAATTCGCGCTTTTCAGAAGTTGCAAGTGAACCCCGAGAGAAGTCACAAGTGACCCTCCTCTCGAGAAGTCACAAGTGAACACCGGGAGAAGTCACAAGTGAACCCCCTTTCGTTGACAATAGGAAGTTGGGAAGTTCTCAGCCGTTGCCCCATTGTCATTAGCATGTGTCTCGCGAGTGAGATATGTGTCTTGCAGAGTCTGCCGGTGCAGGACGCGCTCGCAAACATTTCTATCGAGAAGCTGCCGGACGGCAAGCTGACAGGCCAAGCTCCAGACTGTGTGTCCTCAAGTGCCTGATAAATGACCCCGCAAGGCAGCTGTCGCATTCGCTCCAGAACGCAGGGCATTGCTTTATCCCTGGGTGACCGGATCACCATTGTGCAGCGGGGCGTCCAGGTGGGACCGCCCAACCAGCTTTAAGGAGGGTCCTTAGGCACAAAGCAAACAAAGACGCGAGTTTTGTTTGCTGCAAGTCTGTCTTGTGATGCTTGCAGTACCTGTATCGCCTGCATGCGAGATGAGCTTGTATGGGCGTCTTGCAGTTGAAGAGCGAGTAACATGCGATGAGTCGACTGGCTCCGTGGGCCTAATCTGAGCGTCGCGATGCCGAGACCATGTGGCAAAAGCAAAAAGTGGCAAGTGTGACAGCGTTGATTCTGTGAGGTCCCCAGTTTTGTATTTGGGTCTTGCAGTGTTTCAGAAAATAATTCCTTGATGGCTTCTGTTTGTCGTCGTATGAATACCCCTAGTAGCGTCCCAGTGCTCGGCCTCCCAGCCCTTAGCTTCCCACACCTGCCTCAGCCTGCCTGTCTTCTCTGCCGCACCAGTCTATCACGCTAGAGTCAATTCTTGCAACAGCATGGAAGAGCGTGTAGTAGCTGTCATGAAGAAGACGTATGGGGAACAATCGGCAAGGTGCTTATGAGATTCTGTAGCACTTATGTAGAGACCTCAAGGTTCAGAGGATTTTTTTGATGCTTCGTGCATGCCTATGGCTCAGCAAGCTTTATAGCACGGCACTGCTACATCCTTTTCGCAAAGCTGGCCCTGCCTTGAAGAATCCAGCAACAATCAGGAATGCTAACTTACTGTGCGAGACACATCTGAAGGAATGTAGGTAGGTAGCGACCCACACCTTATGTATAGCTTCTGAAGATTCACAAGCTAATTATGGGCGCATTAAATTCAGTGGAATTGATCGTTGTCGGGGTGAGGCGGAGGCATTAAGATGAGGTCGACCTCGGAAGAGGGGAAGTGAGTACTGACATCAGGACGAGTTTGGGTGTGGGTCTAGCAGGGTAATGAAATTGCGACCAGTGCCACTTTCATTGCGGATTTTTGGTGCAAGCAACGCCAAAACAAAGACTAGGTGGGGCTGAACCCTAAAATGGTTTTGCACTGCTTAGAACACGATCTTCATTGTAGTCTGTGCCTATGGTCATCGTCACTGAAGTTGGTAAGCAAGGGTTTGTGGCAATCTCCAAGCATGCTTGGAATGCAAGAGTGCCGAGGTCAGTCGGACAACCAGTTAGCGGAAAGGATTGCAATTGAATGTGATCAGGTTTATGGCAGACCTCCATCCAAACTTTTCGGACATCCTGACCACGGTGGAGTTCCTATACAGTACAGCAAGTGTGCCGCCATTTCATCACGTTTTCACAAAGAAATCAGCATGCATGACGGAATCGGGAACATCGAGACATTGAAGCAGCGTCGCGCGTCTTTTCGGGAGCCAGCATCATTGCCGTTTCTGGCTTGTTGGGTCTTAAGGGTGGTTGAAAATTGTTCTGATGGGGCAGGCACGGATACATGGATTTATAACACTTGGAGTGGAACGCACTCTGATGCTTCCAAGCTTAGCATCGGCAAAGTACATTGTGCAAGGATTGCAAGGATTTGCCAATGGAAGCTAGCTGAGCTGCATATAAAGGACATGGGTTGCGCAGATGCAAATACACGTTAGTGTTTACGTGAGTATTCATGGATTCATTGGGCCCGGAGGGCGGCCATCCTCCGGAGAGGGACAGATGGCCCACCACCCAACTTATCATTACAACAAATAATAGCTCAGTAGGGCTTGTTCGATTTCCAAACAGCATTGGTTTTCATATTTTTTATTAGACATGAGAAATGATCGAACATGAGCTAAACAAATGGGAATCGAAATTAAATGCTTCTTGCGCATGCTGAGCTGCTTTTGTACACGCCTTTTTGGTGCAGGAGGGTAGAAATGACCGGGCTCCGACGGAAAGCTAGCTGGAACTCAGAACTTCCTGAATTCTCTGTTTCTTTATCGCGGTCTTAGGCAACTGACATGATAGAACTAGTTGAAGAATTTAACTAGAACTAGGGATCTCCTCGATTTCCTACTTAGAAAATGGTTGTCCTAAAAGAAATTGAACAGGTTTCTCCGTAAGTCATTGATGAATGCGAAGGGAGGGGAGGGATGCGTTTTACTATGAGCAAGTGTAGGAACATTGCGCAAGTGTCCACCGTACATAGAGTACTAGCCTTCATCGGCCCTGCTCTGACTTGTGTTGAGCTTTTCTTTTACCAGCTGCTCTGTGCACATGCTCATTTGGGTTTGCCAAGAGCGGCTCAAATTTACCCAAAATTTGGGCCGTTCGATCCATGATGTGCTCACGATTCAAGGCTGCAAGGATTAGCACAGCAACAAGTGCCAGTAAGCGCTGCGAACAAGTGAAGTCTTGGCTCCACTCTTGCCTTGTGGCAATTACCAAGGAGCCGAAAGATAAATCCGAGAACGAACCATGAAGGTAGCAGCCCCAAAGGCCAGCCTGGCCAGCCTGGCCTTTGACTGTGCCTGGTGTTTGTATCAAGCCAAGGTCTTATCTGCCACGCTTGCTCTATGCGCAGCCTGTGCCTACTGCGCGCCTCAAGAATCAGGTGCTTGATGTACTTGAAGTGCAGATTTCGCGAGCTGCTTTTTGCGTTGCCTCAGGTGATGATTCCGGTTGCATGACGCTCTTGCAGGTGACCCATGAGCGGAGCCAAAGCTGCACATGTTCCATGGAATCTTGAGTAGGCTGAAAGCCGATGGTCTCAGAGCATTTCCATTCCCGTCGTCCAAAATGCTTCAACTGCTAAGGATAAGATCAAATTCCACCGACAAACCAGAGAAAGAAACGTCCGGAACCTTGTTGGGTTCTTCTTATGAGCTAGTTGCAGTAGCCTGGTACGCTTGCTCTTGACTCATGCTTTGTGCAAGCAGGCTGGCAAGGCCTCTGATAAAAAATGGTGCGTCGAGCCCAGACAAGGGCGACGCAAAGACTGCTTCAGTCACTTGGTGCTGTTGTTGGCTTGTAGCCTCAGGTCAGGCGACATCGAGTTGAGCATGTACCGATGCTCTCAGAACAGCCATTCTGGTGGATGATGGCTGGCCTAATCATTCTAGTGACCGTTGTGGTGATCAGGACTGGCACGGTGCTAGATTGAAGCTACATTGGTGCAATGCTTTAGTTCTGGTGCAGGATGGAGGTCCAAGACCGTCCGTCACAGATCGAAGTAAACACAGCAGAGATTGCCGTGGAAAGTCGTGCCGTTGATGAGAAGAGCCCCTTGCCAACAACAAATTGGTAGCTGATGAATCAGGATCCTGTCAGAAGCCGGGATTGCGAACCAAAAGCAGTTGTTTTTTCTGCGCGGAAGCAGCTTGGCAGTGCTTTAGATGTATAATGCAGGTTCCAAAGGTCAGCAAATTTCAGCGGAAGAAAGCGCTGTGATGCACGACTCTATAGGGTGTCACACCTCCCCATACATGCAGCTTCCTTACCTCCGCTACTCTCCTGTGGGTTCACACCTTGTGTTCGAGACAGTTTGAAGTGCGCATGAGTCTTAGGCGCACAATCTCCCACTTCCACTGTTGCACGTGCTGAGGCCAGCCGTTCCAGGATTTCAGGAAGAGTGTAGTACTTTCGCGACTGAGTCGATCCAAAAGTATGTTGCATTGACATTGCCCAGTTGGCCTTGGAGGCAGATGCGGCAGAGATGGAAATGTTCTACTCACCTGCGAACTTGCAAAAGCTCTGCTTCTGCTTCCTAGCATCTTGGCTCTCGTTTGGATGACAAAGTGTACAGCTTCGAGTCCTTTGCACTTAGATCTTGCGAGCTTTCTGCTTAGATCTTGTGTCATCTGATTCCAAACACCCTTTGCCTGAAAGCCTTGCGGTTTCAAATCAGCAAAGCAATTTGGAGGCAAATGCCCGAAGTAACTGAGAGAGCATATGCCTTACACGCCCCAGCCAGCTTAGGCTTTGAACACCTGCATGATCCTTTGGGGGATTGCGCAGGACAACTCGTGTGCATGTGATGTCGTGTCCTGCACATGCCATGATGTTGCTGGTGCCATCTGGGGTTGCAAAAAACCCAGTATTGCATTTCAGTACGGATAGGCCCCAGTTGCATCACCCTTTCCATTTTTTGGAAACAGGGTAAAAACGATACAGAGGAAAACATGTTCAAGAGCACCCGTCGCCGAGAATCCACACTCGGGGTACCCTAAGCCTGAACCCCTTGCGGCCGAGCCTTGACCGCAATGTCCCCTTAGCAAGGGCCAGAATCTATGAAGCACGTGGTGTCCAAAACGATAATAGAACGATAGACAAACCGATAATGTTGGTCTCCCGGAAGTAGGCCTTGCCAGCCATGGTAGCTCCTGCCGCAGTTCTCACCGCCCGTTGCAAGCGAGGGACTGAAAAATTCGTGTACGGCCGCAGAGGCCCAAAACTCTCAGGCCAAGCCCCAAACCCAGATGTCTATCGGCGTGTAGCGCAAACACAAGGAGGTTCCAATACTGACGTATACTATCATGATGTAGTACTGCCGAAACACAATGACAGAGAGGAAGACAAAACGACAATGTTGTACAGGGATAAGAGATTTCATAGGGATGCTAGGGGTTGTTTTGCAGCCCCAATACTTAATAGCCTAATAGCCCCTGTACATGATCTACGTATGTTGCAAGTCCAGCGAGTCTCCAGGAAAAGGACTCATAGGAGAAGCCCAAATGTGCCAATCTGCCTTGGCCAGAACTCTGATGCTGGTGCGCCCAGGAGTTCATCATGACCAATGTATACGTTGGAAGGAATGGTGAGAATCTGCAGATCCCAAGCTCTTTGTTCTTGGTGCTGTGCAATCGAGACCTGGAGAAACTTAGTGGACCGTCTGGACGCCTGCTGGAAGCACCTTGTAAAGCCACACCGTGTTTGGCCCCAGGAGCATCGGCAGCAGTGTTCTCAGCGCTCATCCTTACAATCAGACAGAAGAGGCTCTTCTTCGATGGCTGCATCGACTCGCTCCCTCCCGCAGCCGCTTGTCACCGCTCATCGGGTTATGCTGATGTGAGCTTTTTCCACATGCAGTTGCGGCTCACGAAAGTCCAGTGCACTTCGAAGGTGAGCAACAGCCTGGCTTCCTGGTGTCAATACTCCAGCAAGCGTCTCAAACGGCTTGGGGAGCGGAGTAGGGCTTGTTTTGGAAGGTGGAAGTGTCCAGTTGAGGCCTTTCCTACATCTCGTTTGGATTGCAAACGACAGCGAAAAGCACTAAGATTCTTCCGGTAGTCACTTCTCTGCACTTTGCTGCAAGTGCTCTTCGATTGGAACCGCTAGGAACTAGTATGCACGTTGCAATTGGCGGTGCATGCCTCAGGTCATTATTAGCTCTCTGCGAGGGAAGCTTCATTCCTTGACAGACTACGCCGAGTGCATCGTGCTGACTGCCTCCTGCTTCGTCTTCGGCCACGAGAGCGAGACGGCCTTTGACAGCAGCACCACGACCACAGGCCTGATGCAGTCCAAAACAAATACAACAAACAAAGCTTTAGTACCGTTTGATTGTAAAACGATTTTCAAAGAGCCGTGCGCAGGACTCATACTGCTGGCCATCTACATCTTATGTGACTCGCTGACTCCTCATCTTCAAGACGTGCTCTTCATTAAGCACCGGGAGCGGGTTCACATGCAAAGCAAAGTTGGAAGTTTGCAGTCTCAAAAGCGTCGCACATGATATGCAGGCTTTTCATTTCGATTTCCGATTCGCAGATCTTTGGCAGATGGAAATTCACACGTCTAGACAAGTCTCCCTCCTGGGCAAAGTGTGCGCAGACAGAGAGGCGGCATGAGTGCCGCTAAAAAACTGCTGTTTCTGAAAAAATCCGAAAACATATCAGACGGGTGCACTTCCTTCGGGCGGCTGAGGTTATGGGTGTGTGGGTTGCGGCAGACGGGTTCCCGATGATTCCCGACCTTCGGATGCAGGGCCTAGTGTTTCGTGGAGACTCCAGAGTTTGCTCCTTGAGCGTGCTCGGCCACGGCTGCAGCTTCGTAGCAACGGCCCAAAGCCTCCCAATAAAGTGGAGATGCTCATGCCACAGTCGCGGCTCAGGGGTCTCCCCAAAGTGGGCCAAAAGCGAACCGCAGTGGGCTGTGATCCGAAAGGGGCATGACCTCCCTTTGCTCGGAATCCATTTCAGCCACCGGGCAGGCCGGAGAAGCCGCCAGCTGAAAGCGCAGGGGATGCAAGTTTCGTTTTGTCCCACAACAATGGCTTGGTGCCAGGTTGAGGCACGCTTGCAAGCAAGTACGCCGAAAGAATTTTGAAACTTTCCAAACCGTGCTGGGCGCTTGTCTTGCAGAGAAGTAGCCAAAACACGCGTGCTAAAACCACACAGACAACATGCTGAGATAGAGTTGGGGATGCTTCGTGATCAGGGACCAGATATTCCATAGATGTGACGGCTTTTTTTGGGTGCTGAGCATGCCAACATGACGAATCTGACGCATGTCCCACAGCTCTGCGTGCACCGGACCGAACACATGCCCTGAGGTGGCCATGTTTGTGTGGCATGTCGCTGCAGGACATAGATGTCGTCCAGGCGACTTTGGCAATGTCTTGCTTCGCGCTGGGGCTGATCTGTGCGCAGCCGCCCAGAAGCAGATAGGAACGTAGATGTACTCCTGGACTTTGGAAGTGTCCAGGCGTTTCAATCTTCGGATGTCTGCAGTAGTTGCCGGGTCTTGCTTGAGTGGGTGCTCAGCACGTCTAGCCTTCCTTGGACTGTGCCATGCATGAAGGCTTTTGCTCAGTGGCAGCATGCAGCCTGGCTGGGCATTGAGCTCCAGGGACACGGAGCCTTTGGAGTTTGACCTTGCCATGATTCCGTGCTTTGCATTGCTCAGACATACGGTCAGAATCTCCGGGCTACTCACAAGTGCACATGATCTACATCATAATGACTCATGATTGAGTACCAAGGTTTGCGTCATTGAGCTTCATTTGGAACTGTCCAGAGGCACTTGCCTTGTCTTGCTCCGGCTTTCATTCCAAACAAGTTTGAGTATCTACATGACTCTCGGGCCTTTGCCTTTGACCCTTCGTGGTGGGTATCGACTCTTCAGGCGCTGATGCACATGCTGGTGCTTTCGCTGGCATCAACTGTGACGCAGTATATGATATCCTACACGATCAAGCTTCCCAGCTTCCATTTTTGATGTGCAGTCATCGCCATAGTGCACCTACTTGAGCTTAGCAGTGTTGGCTACCAGGCATTTTGGTCCTGTGGTCTACACGCTCATTGCCTCCACGCGGCAAGTGCTCTCCGTGCTGGTTTCGTGTATGCTCTTCCAGCACGACATGTCAGGTGGGCTGTGTTTTGCTCTCATGCCCAATAATCATTCAAGTTATTTGAAGTCGAGAAATAAAACCGGGTTTGCACGACTTTTTTTTGCACCCGCATTGGCGAACCTGGCTTCATCTCCCGGGGTTGACCTTCGATGGACGACTGGCCCCGATCTATCTCCTGGTTTGAAGGACTGACAACCTTATACAACTCTGACAATTGACAGCTTGTCAGAAACTGTGAGGGTACGCGTTTTCAAAGCAGGTATGTGAGCCAGTACTTTTAGGTCAGAATGACGGCTTGTCCTGCCGACAGGTCTTAGTCTTGTGGCGATGCTCATCATCTTCTGCACTTTGATAGTCCGAGCGGTGCGGCCGCTGGCCAAAGACCATCAGGAGCTGGTGTCCGTGGAGCCAGATGCGCCTCAAATGAAAGTATTTTACTGCATATCGTGCATGAGCATGCGCTTCATGACTTCTTTCTAAATGTGGCCGTGAGCTTATAGGCATCTCTGTGCATCTTCTGATCCCCGAGCCCAGGCCTTTCAGCGCATACCAATGTTGCTTCTTGGCTCAATCGCTGCTGATCAGACCGTTTGCAACTTGCAACTTATAAGTTCATTTTTCAGAGCATCCAAGGAATTTCTCAGCTAGGCGGGGCTGTGCTTGCGCATGTCTGGCACTATGGCACAGTTGCGCCCTCGAGAAAAAGGAAGGACCATAGGGCCCAACCCTGGCAGAGGCTGTCTCGATTCTCGCCACTCTTTGTTTGCACGACGCTTGTATCCGAAAGATTGTCAGACACCTTCTGCTCTTCATATTCACTTGACAGTTTTGCAACCGGAAGACTGGCCGTCAGTAACAGTTCAGAGTGCAGGTTTTGTGCTCCGATCATTTGTTGAGCTTTGTTTGAGCTTGCTGTGAACAAGGAATGTATTCAGATAAGAGTCGACGACTGTGACGCTAAGGATGTCCATACACGTGGTGTACCTGGTATATTCGTTGCTGCAGGAGCATAGGTTCGTATGCAAGCCACGCATTGGCACGGACGCCCCCATTTCATGGTTGTAACGGTTGTAACGTTTGCGCAATGTCCCGGTACATTTGAGCAGAAAGCAGCTACGTGAGAAGTGTCAAGTGATGCTCGTCATGCGAGGATTTGCATGCATGCCATGTTGTGTGGTAGCCGCTTAAGTTTTGGCACAGATCAATGAATGGCTTTTGTGTAATGCGAGCTTTGTGCCAATCATGAAAAGGAGTTCCTGTCCAGCCACACCTTTGAAAGTGACCTGTTCAACTTCCCGTTGACTCTGGTGCTGGGCTTAGAACTGGATAAATCCCATACCTGCTTTGGCCTGCAAATTGACCTCGGGGAAAGAAGTGTTTCTGTCCTAGGGCAGGGCTTGGAAATCTCATTCTAGCAAGCATGCTGTATGTCAGGTCGCTCTTAGTCACTCGGCCGGTGCCCTGCTGTCACTGGCTGCACTCTTCGGTGGTGGACACCAAATCACTGTGCCAGGCATCACTGCTCGTCTTGTATGCATGAACGTAAACCTTGATAAGCCCGCGCCACCGATCATCAGATCTGGTCGAGGAAAAAACTCTGAGTAACCAACCCATCACGCAACCCGTGGAACTGAAACGCTAGGAGAGACATTGGACGTTGGTAACGCTAAATTTGCGCATCGGGGCTTTTCACCATGGATTGTTGCTTGGAAAACTATCAACTTGGGTTGGCAATTAGGTCAAGGCTCTCAGGGCAACGGGGGGGCCACTGTACATCTCACATCATGTGGCTAGAAAGGTTAGGCTTTGGGGATTGAGTGTCTGCACCGGCTAGAAGGAACAGGCCTGATCTGATAACCGGTATCTGTCCAGGTAACATCAGTCAGCTTGTTTCCAGTTGCAGAGGCTGAACGATTTAGGGGTGCCCTGCAGTCATCCCGTTGACCTGTGTCCTCGAGGGATCAGGTGTTCAGTGCAGGAAGGCCCGTCTAGGGATGAGACTGGCAGCCTTACAGAAGGGATGCCCGAAGAAGAGCAGATGCCGGTGGTGAGCATCCCAGGGTCGGATTTGCTTTGCCTTCAGAAAACAGTCAACGACAAGCTACGGTCTTGGTCATTTGACTTTTTTGAGGTGATTCGCAGTTTGGGACAGAACGGATACTACAGTAGTTTTGTGTACTTGCTTGATCAAATGCATCTTGACCACTTCTTGCCGCTCGCATGTCTTGGCAAGCTTCCCACTCGGTCTGTTATTCTGCCGGGCTGGAAGGCATGGTTGGCACGCTCCTCCCGGCTACTACAGACTTGGTGGCTACGTCCCTCCAGCATGCGGCACTGTATCTAATGCTGCCTGGCAGCTTGAGGATTGGTGATCTGCTCGTCCATTTGCCCACGTAGTCATGGAATTACTTGATGCCCCACGAGGTTCTTCCCAGCGCAATCTCTGATGCTCGCGGCAATAGGGCAACGGGTCCAAGGAGGTGAAGTTGTTAGCAACAGAATCAGGACAGGGGCGGAGGCCCCATGAAGCCCCTATCACCAAGCATGAACAGTTTGTTCCATGTTAGAGCTGTTTGTTGCTGGCGGAGCTGTGCAATCAGATCTGCTTAAAGCACACAGCCCCATTCAGTGCCAACAAAAATGTTCATGGTCTAGCATTACAAAGTTGGGCTAGGTGCGTAGCTGTGCTTGCTGGAGCCCGACTTTCAGATCCTATCCAGCTGATGTCATGTTAGTGCCAGCCAAGGATGAAAACCCTCAAAGTTCTTCCGGTCATGCTTGTGGGGACCCTCTGCCCGCAGCAGCGTAAGTACACTGCCTAGTGCAGGCAGAGACCTCGCATGACGTGATGCATTTAGCAAAACGGAGCTGCCACTCCAGCACTTTTCTTCCGAATATGGCAGGCATTTTGCGTTCTGTGTTGCAAGTTGCACTGTGGCAGCAGAAAGCAATCAAGGAGCTGTTTGCAGAACCGCGTGTACAGCCGCCTGGATTATGCTGAAGGCTTTCTTCTGACGTGCTCCTTGGACTGCAAATGCATGACTGGGGGTGCTCGCTCTGACACACCATGTGCTACAACCTCTTGCCCTTCAGCTTCCGGCTTCGCATATACCATGTGCGCCCTGGCCAGACTTCAGACGTTGCTAGTCAAAGCCCTCTCTCCAGCGCAGACAGGATTTGCTTACTATCAGAAACATGTCTTGCAATTAAAGGGAGGCCAACAGCTCCTGAACCTAAGTTGAGGCATTCATGGCATTCTTGACAGTTCCCAGAGTCCGTCCTAAGAGGCACATCCGTAAAGCAGGATGATCATCTTCAGGAGCCTGCCCTGTCCCAGTAGTTTTCGTAGTTTTCGACCTCATGTCCGCGGGATGGCATATCCCGAAATGCCATGGATCCTGGGCCTGAAGCCGCGCTCCCGCTGCGAGCCCGTGGCCTGGAGAACGAGAACGGTGCAAACCATTGTGACCTTGGCCCAAAACATTCAATTACTTTGTAGGGTCAACCTAAATGAAGTATTCGCAGAAGGCTGAAGCTATGTTTTCTGAGGGCTGCATGTCACCTGCACGGGCATGCGACCTCGGTTCATCCTTTGTGTTTGCACACGCTGAGGCTTCTTGAATGTGGTGATTCAGGCATTCTGGAACTTGCAGTCGTTCAGAAAACGGATCCTCAGCGCTCCCGAACACGACCATTCAGGATGGGGTTCGATCCAAAATGGAGCAGGTGCATCGGATGGGGCAGCATGCTCGCGATGCTATTGTGCGTTGAAAGCAGTATTCCAACAGTTTGCGTTTTCAGACGCAGAAACACTCCCTCCTGATTGCTTGCGGCGTGCACTCTCCAGCGTATATGATGCCCAGGGTCGCTTTAAAATTGGCGACATGGAAGATGCCACAGAGACCATTGAGACAATCCTTGGTATTCTGCATGCGTGCAACGTGTCACAAGGACCTTCTGGCCCATACCTGTTCCAATCCCAGGCCGAGTTTGTCGAACAGGCGAGTGACTTTGGTTGTCATCCCATGTGCCTTGGTCATGAGGTCTTTGGCATCGAGTATGTCGATGTAACTCGTTGCACGTTCTGTGGGGCAACGGGTGAGCCTTCTGTATCGGGCGCCTATTTGTACAGAGCCTATGTTACAGAGCTCATTGACTGTCAGAGTCGAGCACAGCCGGAGGCGCAGATTGCCACGGATCCTCTGAGTCTCTTTCAGGAGATGGTCCTGCAATTGACAACAACGCTTGCCGGGCAGCAGCCGGCCACCCTGCAGGAGGTTCTTCGAGAGCTGTGTCAGAGGGACGCAGATGGAAAGTGTTCGGAGTGCAACTCCAGGAAGACATTGGTCATCGAGCGCTGGCTTACCAAACAGCCCAAGACCTTCATACTGTCATTGATCTGGCCGACCACCACACCGGGCCGGGAGGCACTCTGGCTGGTGCTGGCAATGATTCAGCCTCAGCTGCGCATGGACCAGATCTTTCAGACAGACCCGCACGCTGATTGCTCTCGTGGTTCATCGACGTGGGTCCAAGATGAGGTATACTGTTTTCATGGCATGATCTGCTACTTCGGTATGCATTATGTCGCGCTTTTCTGGTGCCCGGCCCGGAAGCGTTGGATCTTCTTTGACGACACAAGTGTGTGTGAGAAAGAAGACTGGAATGCAGTTACAAAGTTGATGATGTCAGGCCAGTACCTTCCTACCTTGCTTTTCTACGAGCGAGTGTCTGAGGAGGCTGCTTTGGCGGATTCTCTTCCCGAGCTCAACCGTCAAATAAACGGGTTAGAGCAGCAGCCGTCATGTGCCGCGATGTAGAAAAGAACCGAACACAGTTTTGTAAGGGCATTCTCTTTCTCTTGTTGGACACTGCGCAACATGCGAAAGGGTATACGCGTGTTCCCTTATTGCACTCGCTAGGCTGGCAACCGGTCCCCCACAGTGTGCAACAGGTTTTGTGGCTTTCTTCGTGTGGGACTTTCAGATCAATGAAGCCGAAGAGAGGGAAAAGAAGATGTCACTTGCTGGAATTCTGATGATGTTTGGCTACCTGAGCGTTGACTCCTTCACGAGCAACTTCCAGGACTGCCAAACATGTCTCTTGCTACCATGAACTCAAGCAGCGACCAGCTCGATGCAACTCTTCAGGTTGCTAAGATGCTTGGAGAGCTCCTCACAAAAGTAAGCGCATGCGCTGCATTCCCGTGCTGTGGGAGCTTTGTGTCAACCAGGGAGACACTGTTCTGACAGCATATTGAGTTTGGCAGGCTAGGGTGCATGCAGCTCATTCCCAAGGGTTCTTGCTGCTGTTGTTTAGGGTCAAGCATTGTGAGCCAAACTGCCAGCACAGAAGTTTGATCTTTGTGCGCTCAACAAAAATGTCCTCTGTCAGCTGTGACCTGCCCAGGTGTGACCTGATTGATTGCCAGTATTTATCTAGAGGACTTCCTGCCAACTCGACAGCCTGGCTTCCCGAAGTGGCTTGGAGACCATGGAAGATGCGCGGTTGTACTGGCGACCTTTGCGCAACGGGCGCCAGGCAGAATCCTTCGTTGGGGCTTGTGCCACCAGCTGCATGCTCAATGGCGAGTTAGTGATGCGGCCAGGATGGCAGGATGGCGCAGAGCATCTTTGCAGAGGCACTCACCAACGGACGACTTGGAGATCGGCGGGGCCGCAGGGGCGGACGCGTGGATGGAGACTACGGCTGACCTCGACGACCATGGATCGGTCGCAGCTGCTCCGGCAGCCGGCAGAGCATTGCGCTGGTTCGTGAAGCGTTCAGGTTTGGCCTGGGAGTTTTCTGCGTGGACAGTATCGAAGCGAGCGAGAGAGATTGAGCCAGGCTCCAAGCAAGGTCTGCCACCATGCCTTTCATCGTGAGGATCATAGCTGCCCAGGAATCAGGTGATTCCAGGTGGATGCCCTTGCTGGGTTCATGTTTGGTGGCCTTCGGGTGTATCAGGTATGCACGCATGAAGAGATCACAGGTGCAGTATGTCACAGCCAGCACCATGCGCTGTTTGTGTGCCAAAGGCAAGCAGGCAGCCAAGCGTCATGTTGTCAGTGAAGCATGCCCACTGCATTTGCCCTGCGGATGGCATCGGGCAGTGGCCTTGCGATTCACCAAGCTGTCGGCAGCGAAACAGCAGCGCTGCGAGCTGTGCTTTGACGAGACCAAGGTGGCCGCTGAGAACAATGCCCAGAAGTTCCTGCCCCGTCTATTTAGTTATTGTGTGGGGCAGTCGTCTGCTCAGTGCAGCGGCCGTGTTTTGCTTGGGCAGCTCTTTCAGCTTCGGGGGCGATCTGCAAAGCCATTAGTGCCGCAGCTTGTGAACTCAAGGCACTCGAGGGTGAGATCTTGCGTGCCGGACCTATCAGACGTGCAAGTTCGGCTCTTCCTCGATGATGGGAGCCACGTTGGTTGCTGTGTCGCCGCGTCAGGCTTAGGGCTTAGGCGATGCTGCGTCGTTGCAGATGGCTGGAGTTTGCAGCCTGGGCCGCGGCTAGGCTCTGCGTCCAGCAGGCTGAGCAAGACAAGTCCAGAGTGGCTTTTGCTGACTCGGGTTCCATGCTGAGGGACAGTGAACTCAGCGACGTGGAAACGGCTTTGTGGCAGAAGTGCAAACTCAGGTTCCCTGCCAGAACCCAAGTGACGCAGTAATTGTCTCAAGAGTCTCGCGCGACTTGGCAACGTGCCAGGTATTCGCGTTCAACACATGGATGGTGAAGTCGCTCCAATTTCAGCTGACTGCGGCGCAGAAAATGCGCAGGCTCGGGCACATTTTGTTCACCGAGGAGGAGGCGGGCACACAAATCGCCAAGCGCCGCCTAGTCCTTGAGGGAAGCTGTTCGCAGCAGCCGTTGCATCTCCTGGCTCTGAGGCAAGGGCTGCAGACTTGCAGAGGAGCATGATGAGTGGATGTCGTGACGAAAATTCCGTGAGAGCGCTCTGCCATTAAGTCCACCAAGCAAGAGTAGCAAGAGCCAGCAAAATCCCAAGTGCAGAAAGGTTCGAACATCAACGGCAAGCCCGCGGCCAGAGTCACAGGATGGTGCTGTGTCTTGAGTTGCAGGCTGGCAAGTGCAAAGTCCAAGGCAAATGACAAATGCTTGAATGGAGCCCTCAATAAGCGCCCGGGCCTGCTAGCCATCCCGTTCAAGGATGAACAGAGTAAGAGAGAGTTTGACAACTTCAGAAAATTTGTCTTCACGCCGGCTGCTGGGGCGGGCGTGTTGTGCGCAGAGGGTTAGAGGTCGCCAAGGTTTGGTTGGAGGCAAAAAAGGATGAGGCAAAGTACGCTCTGCCACTGATGTTTGTCCTTGCAGTTCCAGCCTCGGTGGGCAGTCAGGATGGGGATGCGCGCTCACCAAAACCCTGCAGCAGTTCGGGAGCCTTTCAAGGACTCAGTGCGTGTGTTGCAGTCACAGGTTCCTGGCCGAACCGTGGGCCTGCCCACTCACGCCAGGAGTGAACTGTTCCACCGCTGACTGGTTCAACCTGTGCTAAACGTATCATGCTCAACCTGGTGCAGGACCTGCCGGAGGCGTGCGATTACCCCTTCAAAGGTTCAACATGTGTTGCAGGCCTTGTGTTCAGGATCAGACTTGGTGCCCCATCCACAAGTTGTGCGAGGGACCCGTAGCAGGAGAGAAAGGTGGCCAGCTTGGCGGGTCCTAGAGCAGCGGCGTCCATGGTGCAGGACGCAGTCTGCGCCTCGATCCGATCTTCTCCCCGAGGAGCCCATTGATCAAAGACATCATCAGCTGTGACCCAGTCCTGGGCATGTTCAAGATGGATGTGCGATCAGGAGCTAGCTTGGGATGGAGCCTTGATCCATGAGTTGCCTGGTCAGCGTGTGGAAATGTTGCGCACTGCCTCGTTACTTGCGGCGCTCCCACGGCTTCCCAGTGCGCATTTTGCATTCGCGTTGCGTCGAGGCGACGTGTCATCAACAAGTTGGAGTAGTCTGCCCTCAGCTGAACCCAGCAATGGTCTTACGCTCGCCTATCCGGCCAGCCCAGCGCATAGAGCCACCTCGCCTGTTCCTCGATGCCGGCAGCGCAGGAGAGTGACCTTTTGGAGAGTGGCAGGAGCGGGCGTAGCGGCGCGCCAAATCTGCACCGGGGTCGTCTTCGAGCTGCCCTTGGCGTTGACGTCTCTTAGCTACAGTCACTGCATGGAGGCAGCCAGTTGCAGGCTAGTGCACGCAATGCTGCACAGATGGGCTTCGTGCTGCCAAGCTTCTGGGCAATGTGCGTTTGTTCAGCTGAATGAGCTGTTGGGCGCCCCTTCGCAGACTAGAAGCGGCAGCGCGTTCCATCCTAGGAGTCCTGGCTTTGATCTCCAGTCTCCGTCATGACTCTTATCCGAGGTCGGTCCACGTCACTGGATAAACTGTCACGAGTGATCCACCTCTGCTAGTTTCCGCTGGGCGCATCGTCGTACGGGAATGGATTCCTTCCCAGTCCAGTTGTGCCGATGACATACTCCCAAACTCTGTAGTCGCCCCTCTCTCCGGGATGTTTGCAATCACTGGGAAATGGCAAAGGGAAGGTCGCACCAATTCGCAATGCCAAAAGCATTACACAGCTACAAGTGTTTTCAAGAAAGCCCAGATACAGCGACATGTAGAAGTCGCCCCGTTTTTTTTTGATGGGCGGCAGTACTTGGGGCCCATGAATTGCCTTGCATAGCCAAGATGGAAGACGAACATTTTGAGGGAATGAATTGTTTCCCAATGCAACGTGCTGACACCACTTCTGTGGTGTCTCAGACGCGAATTGCCTCTGGTGATTTGCATGCGAAAACCTGATGTGAGAATTTTCTTGGTCCGTTCCGCCAACAAGTCAGATGCCATGCACATTCTTTGGTTGTTGCGCAACCTGCTTTGGAAAGAACCTGTAGATGGCGTTTCCGTGTTCCTGGCACGGCTTCCTGCGATGCCTCAAAATGCGGGGTGCCGCTGGTAGTTCGCATGAAAAACCACACAAAATGCGGTTTATGCTTGGTCCGTTCCACCAGCAGGTCCGATGCCATGCGCCGTTTTTGGTGGTTCGAAAACCTGCGCATGTATATGGCGTTGCCTGGTTCCTGGCACGACTTAAAGATATGCGCATACATGGCATTATCTTGATTCCGGCACGACGTCCTGCGACGCCTCAAAATGCGGGGTGCCCTTGGTGATCCTCATGGAAAACCATATGACATGAAGTTTTTCTCCAGTCCGTTGCACCAATAATTCAAATGCCATGATTGCTGGAAAATCTGCAGTGGACAGCGCGTCTACGTGGAGTTCCCGTGTTACTGGCACGACGTCGGGTCATGCATGAAAATGCGGCGTGCGCTTATATGAAACAAGGTTTTTGTTTGGTCCGTTTTCAGCAACAGTTCAGATACCATGTGCCAGTTTGGGTAGTTGCACAACCTGGTGTGGAGCGTGTGCACTGCGTTACTGCGTTTCCTCGTTCTTGCAGGATTTTCTGTCGTGTCTCAAAATGCGGCCTGCCCCTGGTGAGTCACATGAAAACCGCATGGATTGCGTTGTTTCTTTGGTCTGTCCGTTTCACCAGGAAGTCAGGTGCCACGCGTCGTTTGAGCTGCGGGCTCCATCGTTTGGAGTATCGTCAAAGGCAGACTATCTGCACGCGTTTATATGGGGACGCCCCTGTCAGTCCTATGCTCTTCTTTTACATGGGAACAGACCGCTTGAACCCTATGCTTTTCTATGGATAAACAAAACCCTTTGAAATCTAGGTTCAAGCAGGGAGAAGACCCTTTAAATTCTATGCTTTTGCATGGGGGAGGCCTGTTCAGTCCTATGTTTTTATATGGTGCAACCTTGATATGTCATGTGGGAAAGTCCTTTTTGGTCCTATGTTCTTGGATGGGAAAGATCATCTTAATTCCTCTGCTTTCATATATGCTTAACCTCCAGTTCTTTTATGGGACGGACCCTTTTAATTTTGCATCTTTATGTGGGTTGAATCCTCCTCCTATGATCCTATTCTGGGATATGAGGAACACGATTTTGATCCTAAGCTTTTATGCAGGCCAAACCATCTCAGCACCTTGTACAAGGAAGACCCTTTCAATCAATTGGTAGTGTACGAGCTCTTAAATCTTGTCGTTGGATACGGATATGGATTTTGCCCTTCTGTGTGCCTTGCTGTTTGGGATGAGCCGGAGCGTTGGCAACGAACCTTAGAAAACCAAATTCCTTCTCATATCTTGCATGTTCTGTTCATGTACTGATTTTGTTGTTGATGCCGTGTGTGGTTTTGCCATGGGGCACGGCACGTTAAAAGTATAGAAAGACGCTGTTGGGAAAGGTCAAGTATGCCCTGCGGTTTGCAGAGATCATATTTTTTGGGCTGGTTTACCCGCCGCGCTCGGAGTAGAGGTGGAAAGGTATAGCAGGTTCGCAGTTCCATGGTGTTTTGGGACGGAGTTCTTAGTAAACATTGAAATCACGATGAACACATGGGAAAAGGCGATGCAGTTACATGTCGTTTTGGGGTTCTGTTGCTGATGGCGGATTGGGCAAAGCTTCGCTTTGCCGTGAGGACAGGCTTGACGCGAGTGAAGACGGCGTTTCTTCACAGTTCCATGCTGTTTTGTGGCAGTGTTGTTGGTCGTGCAAGCGTTCAAGTCACACTAAATGGAGACACACTTCCATCGTAGTTCAATGGCATTTTGGGGTGCTCGTTTAGATTCGGTGCCGCCTTTCTGAGTGTAAGTAGAGGCCAGGTTTTCTCGCAGTTGCATGGTGAACAGGGTAAATGTTTGTAAATCTTGCACATGTCTAAGTAGGTAAACGACACACGAAAATTCCTGGTGGGACTTTAGTTCAAGGGGGAAGTGAGTTGCAGGCGTTGATCTGTAGGTGCGCGGTAGCCGCAGTTGCGTGGGGGAAAAGTTTTGGTGGCGGGCATTCCACAACAAACTTGGTGGGACTACGGTGTTTGCCTGTATCAGTGGCCCGGCACGCCGACGGGCCATCCCGAAGCCGGCGTCCGCTGGATCATCGACTCGATGAAAGCGTGTGAATGAACCAGGACGTATCCCACCAAGGTTGAAAAGATGCCTGGCCTTTGCTAATGATTTTTAACACGATGCTTCATCTTTTCTGCACCTGCTCTTGCATTTTCCCGTTCCAGCGAGTATCAGTGTTGTGCAGTTTTTGTAAATTCAAATGCATTCGGAGTTGAGTGCCTTGGGTGTGACCCGCAGTGGCGTCCAAGCCAGGTTTCCTGAGCGATAGGAACCCAATGCAGTATCTCAGGAGTATCCACGGTTGTACTGCACGATTCCTGGGTTGGAGGGAGGAAAGGAAGGAGCGTCTTGTAGCGGTGCGAGCGAACGTTATTCAACGGAGCTTCCCGCCGCTTCCCGCTGACTTGAGTGTCTTGCTGCTGAGCCTTCCAGGATCATCTCTACCAGACAACTGGGCTCGAGCCAGGGCACATGCTGCTGGGAATGGAGACGCCGTCGCAATAAACGTTTCCTCTGGGTCTGAAGTTATGTCTCTCAATTGACTTGGTGCAGCCAAGGAGTCTATATCAGCTGCCATGGCATGGACACTTACGATCGTCGCTGGTGAACTCGTGCCAGCTTTCCAGCAAACTGGACGAAGATAATGACTGTTTGCTTAAGTTTTTGCCCAACATTTGTGAGCTGTGTTGCGAGATTTCCTGTCGGACGGCAGCGCAGTGAGCCTACTCAGCTTCAGAAAGATAATTTCATCTCGTTTTGCAGGTTCATATGCCAGCATCCAGAGGTGCTCTTTTTCTTGGCGAAACCCGGCTTTCCTTCTGGTCATTTGCGCACGGCTGTGCATAATGTCGAGAAGTTTATAATTAACGGAATGACAGAGGTTATGCTGTGAAGTGGAGACAACGTAAGTAACAACTTCACTCCCGAGGATCTTTGCCATGTCAGCGGCCGTGGGAGCGTTCAGCTGCGTGCTGACGGTTCGATTGTTACTTGTGGGGAATTTTTGGAGTAGCATTAAAAGCAAAGATTACAACTCCCAATATCGAGTAAGATTGCATCTTTCTTGCCTTCGCTAACATACTGCAATCACCAGCAATCACTCTTGCATGCGATGGTGTCGTTTATGTATGAACACTGCCGTTCAGTCGTCTTCTGAAACTCCTCTTATGATTCCCATCCGAATCCAGAGAGAGAGAGAGGGAGAGACAGACACCGAAGCGAACAGAACCACGACGCTGTGGGAGGCCACCTGGCCGGTGCTTGGGCATCATTACCCCTACAGCAAAGCAAAAGAGACAGACAAAGAGGTGAGATGCGCTGTGAGTCTGTTGATTTTGCCTGGGTTCGGGGATGTATTGGGCTCTGGAGTACCCGACTCGACTTGGACCACTTCCGGGGTGCGGGGCGCTAGCCCCGAGAGGGCCGTGAGAGTTTTCTATCCTTTTCTATCACCCGAACAAGAAGACAGAGAGAGAGAGAGAGAGAGAGAGTGAGAGAGAGGAAGAAGAAGTGGTGGGTAGGACTGTTGAGCGATCCTGAGTGATGCTCTGTTATCTGATGCAGCAAAGGTTCGGACCGGCAGTGTTCACTCTCATTATGACATCTCGCGCCATCATGAGCCTCTTGCTCTCCGTGCCTCTGATGCATCTTTCATGAAAGCAAGGAACCGGCAGTTTCCATTTTTGATGAACAAGGCAGGAAGTGAGTTCCCGCTCAACTATGTCTTGGGCCAGAGCTGTTTGCTTGCCCCAGAAAATCCCCCGAACAATTAGAGTGGGAGGAACATGTTGTTGCACTGCATGGGAAACCAAAGTGTAAGATTTGCTGGGGTGCAAGCTCAGCAAATATAACTAAGGTTACAAGGTAGCTGTCTCTGTAATGAGAAGCTTCAGCCGTAAATCCCCAGCCTTGAGAGCTGCTTCAGCCATGTCACAGAGGCATCCGAAATCAGAAGCCTTTTCCAACGTAGTTGAGCTTTTTCCGACCCTAAGCACAGCACACCGCAAGGCACAATTTTTTCGCGAAGACTTCAGCCTGTGGGTAGATTGCTTGGGCAAGGTTTGCAGATCCTGTACCCTGATCCAGGTTATTTGCTTCCAGCACCAAGTGGCCTGGGTCCCTTGACTGAACAGAGGCCTCACGCTCTCTTGTGCAACATTTAGCTGGTATCATTGCCACCTCAGGAAGAGTGCCTATGCCTCATCGTGGTGTCGCTGGTCATGCTGATTTCCTCAACTCGTCGGGTATCAGCAGCAGCCTGAGCATGCGCGCGAGCGTTGAGACCGGTTTTTTCGTTTCGGGCTGCTTGACCGCCACGTGCACAGAATTGAGCGCCGAGATGCCTTAAGTTTCCTGGTTCTTTGAGTCTCTAAGGCACAGCTTCGCCAGCTGGACTTACCTAAAGCTGGGGACCGCCTGACTGAAGGCAGCTAGCCTGGCACCGCACTTTAATCGTCCCTTGGTGCTGCTGGTGCTGCATCTTTTAAATTTGAGAGGCTTTGTGCACGCGCTTTGCTCAAGGAGCGTGCACGACACTTCGGCAGCTTGTTTGTCAGTGATAGGCTGTGACTTCTGCCTGCAGCAGCTAGTGACCATGCCAGCAGCTCATTGCAGAGGGGGTCAGCTGCCTGAAGCAGGGCAGCTGAAACGCTTGGACTCTTATCTCTGCTTCGGAGCCTTGTCCACAGAAAAGCAGAAGCGGCTTATGCGTCGAATTGTTGTGTAGGTTTGTAGTGTAGAAGGTGCTGCTATTGCAAGTGTGCCGGGCTTCCGATGTGTTTTTCTGAATTTAGTGCAACCGGCTGCTTCAGTTGGGGTCGTTCTCGATTTGATTCTATTCGGTGCTTGGCTAGCATGAGCAGTATGACATACGGCGCCGCTATTGCTTTGCTTGAAAGCAGTCATCGTGAAGCTGTCCGAACAAGGTGCAAGGAGTTGGCGCTCATTTGAAACACTGCCAAGGGTTAGCAAGAAATCAAAAGATTGTTGGAAAGAGCTCTGAAAATGGACACGTCATCATGCACAGCAAATGGCAGGAAAACAGAAACACATCAGCAAAGGAACTGGCACGGGCACAAAACAAGCGAGCAAAGTGGAAAAGAAGTGACAACGGCAGCTAGACAGAGAAGAAGGACGGAAAGAACAAAGCAGCGGACCAATTCTTGCTGCGGTCATCATGACTACGTGGCAGCTATTCGTGTAGCAGATATGTAATTGTCCTGTTTTTATCATGTTTCAACATTCAGGGCACATGTCATGCCTGTGCATTTCCTTCACCTTCCAGACTTTGGTCGCCTAGGCCATTATTCCCGCTATCCATTATTCAACTGTTTTCGTGTTTGGACCTGACTAATTCATGAATCCAATTGGTTTCCCCTATGAACTGGATGAATCCAGCAAACTTATTGCCTGTCTCAATGGACCTTGGATTGGCTTCATGTAATCATCTAGTTTTCCGTCGACCCAGAAGCTTTGCCCGCATGCGTTAGACTATTCCATGAATCGAAAAGATTCCCGCCATGGAGTTGATGAAAACAGCAAATCAATCCGTTTCATCGATGAACCCGAAACAATTGGATTAACGGATGGGTTGGATACATGGATTTGTGCTAGCGAACTGATCCAGTTACAGGGGGAAAACTGCTTGTTTCGCTTTATCCAGGCCCCGCCCTCGACAATAGCCCGTGATTTACTGGATTGATTTTCTGCGTGGTGTACTGCCGTCATGGGATTTAGTCCGGGCAAAACGTTTGAGCATTTGGTCACAAGAGCGTCCATGCTCAAATCACAACAACATCCGTTCTCGCCTGCGTTCCGCGACCACGGCATGCATGCGCAAACAATAGTGGTGTCCATGCCCGACAGCATGCGATGATGAGAGCATCCAACGCCCAAACCCAAATCGTAAGAATACCGTCCATACTTGACTGCATTCTTTGATTAAAGCATCCATGCGCAAACCATAATAGCGTCCACGCATGTCTAGTCCCAACTGCATTCGGTGACCATAGCATCCATGCCCAATAAGCCAGAACAGCGTCCATGCCTAGCTGCACTCTGTGGCCACAGCTGCATGTTCTAACCATAATTACGTCCATGCCCGACCGACGGCATTTGGTGGCCAGAGCATCTGAGCAGCGTGCTTTTTCCCACTGGTCTTGAGCAATGTGTTGGCGATGCACAACTTGAGATCAATCTCAAAAATGTGCGCCGCACTGCTGCCACGAAAGGACGCAGAAGGTTCGTGGAAAGGGGATGGGTTTGCGGAAGGGTCGTGGAAGGTGCTGCGAAAGTATTTCATGAGTAACGGATACTTCGCGGAAGCGAAAAGGTTTAAGGGTTCGCTGAAGCAAAAAGGGGAAGGGCGTCAAAACTTGAGGACGCTCTGTTTCGAGGAAGTTGTTTTGCAATACAAGCATTTCACCAGAAAAAAACTTTGCTCATCCGCGCCCAAACCCGGACTGCATGCGGTCCATTTTCAAACATGATGACGTGAAAACTACGACGGTGTTCTGTACACTTCCCAATGACAACAGACAATTTTTCAGCCCTCGGTTGGTCGCGCACTGAAGGTGTCTGTTTGCTTGCGAGGAACATACGCCCTTTGTTACTGAGTGTTTGTGCCCCACAGAAATTGTCAAAAGCATGAAGAGTACAACATGGGCCACCACCCACGAGCACAATAAGGTAGTTTTTGTTCACGAACCATGAGCCATGCTCGTAAGCATGGAACATTGCACTGACTGGTGAAAACAGGCATCTCTTCTGAGATAGCACTTGAGAGTCTGCTAGGACCAGGTGTCTGCAAAGGAGGTCTGGAACCAAACCAGTTTTTTCAGCGTGGGCTTGCCAAAGCCGTACGCTAGCTTTGGGTCAGGGGTTCCGTTGTAAAGATGCATGCCGTGCGGCGCTGCTGCACCCTAACGTCTACTTGCCGGATGTCGTAGAATTGCCTAAGCTCAAGGAAGCGGGCCCCTCCTGTTTCGATGCTTGTTTGCATGCAGTTCGCTGTGTGGGCTTGCAGAAGTGCACAAAATCGGCGCTGGCCGGTGATTTTGCACATTTCCACATGAACACGAACCCCGCCATAAAATTGAGTTGAACATCGCAAGAACTCCTTCCCGTGACAAATGCGGAAAACTCTGTGCTGGCTGGGGTTTCAGCTCATCCTAAACATTTTTTATCCAGTACATGGGGTGAAAACCAAAGGATAAATGGTCAGTCTAGTTCCTAGAAGAGAGTTGGATGAATCATGATTAATCCTCTGAATCTGCCCTGCCTACGTGAAGAATACTCTCCGTGCCCGAACATAGTACATGCTGCTTAGATATTATGTTGGTGGAGCCTTCCTTGCAACAACAACAAAAGCGTCCATCAGAACTAGAAGTGTTACCAAAGAGTGTTGGTTTACAAACTTCTGGTTGTTTATGAACCTCCTTACCCTGTGAGTACGCAGCATTACGCCTCCGTATTGTACAAGCCAGTCTTCCGCACAATTCACCACGACAGTAGACGTCTATATGATTCCCAAACTGAGCAACATCAATAAAACGTTGAATGATTGTCTTGCGGTGTTCTTGTACTCTTGCAATCTGTTGCACTGCGGTCCTGCTTTTCCCTATGTCATTCTGTAGAAACATTCTATCAATATTAAACCGTAGCAAGACATTCCAATTCTATTTGGCGCGCTTTGTTGTGCATCTATTTTGCCAAGCAATTACGATACTAAAGTATCATCTTGTTTCCTCTTCATTGTACTGTTGCATTATGAGTTGGTCTGTTTGATTTTACACATCATTGTTTGGTTATGATGCCAGCAGCTCGCCTTGCGCTTGGACATAGTGATGTTCTTGTACTGTCGCATTGCTATGCCATGGGACCCCAAACCCTAAAAGGTGATGTAGGAACCCTAAGAGGTGATGTAGGGCGGTCATGCCAGAACACCCTAGTGGGAAATGCTTGCTTGGACACAGTGAGCTGTAGGAGGATATGTTGGCTAAACTCGAAACCCTAAACTCTGGATTCTACGCCGGCCTTGCCGGGAGATCAGAGATGCAGTCTCCTAGCTCACTCCTGACCCTGACAGGAAAACATGTCCAACAAGCAGATGCCAAAGTGAAGGGCGGGGTAGACCAAGACGTGGTGGCCCTGATGCAAGGAGGCAATGGAAAAAGGCACCACTCGAAGAAAGCAAGCGAGAAAACAAATGGTTTTGAGACCCAGGGGAAGGAAGAGCGTCGTCAAGCTCGTGGGCAAGAATTCCACCATGGACAGGACAAAGATGTGAGGAAAGTGGCAATACCAGGGCCAGGGAAGAAATCGCAACACCCAAGTCGAAGGCGCCGCCTGCAATGCCTTCTTCAGCCTATGTCTTTTCAGAGGGTTGGTTCGCTTTATGGGGCTGTTGTTCGCGGACATCATGGGGGCGCTCGCGGTGGCAGAGGATGCCGAGGAGGACGATGTAGAGGCCAAAGCAGCAGCAGGGGTTGACCAAAGCTTGGAAGGAGACGAGGAATCCAGTGCAGGCAGGGACCCAGACAGAGGGATCGAGAGGGCGGATCACGTCAGCATGGTCCAGGTTCTGACTAGAACAGGGCTTATGACCATCTTTACCAGCAAGCTTGCCATGCTGCAGGCTCACTTGAATCCATGGATGAAAGCAAGCAAAGAAGAATTGCACGGTGTCTCCATCATATGTTGGAAGCGTGGCGAGAACAAAGAGGCCACGGAGCAGGCGCATTGGCGCGGGACAGAATGAATTGGTTGTGGGCATTGTTGGTCACGTATCGCGATGGTGATGGACAAGCGCCCGCTGAACTTCCACATGATGACAGACAGTGGTGTGAAACCCAGTGGGAAATCGTCAGAGCACGTATGCAGGCGGCCATGGAGGGGGACAATGCACAGGGCTCAACGGGTGCAAGTTCGTCGCATGAAGTCCCTATGCCAACTGCGGTAATCCAAGTGGGGGATTCTGTCGAACACAGTCGGGGCTTGAGCACATGCGACGGAGGGGTGGCAACAGAACGAGTTCAGTGCAGAGACGGCCAGGAGGAGCATTTGAGAACGCCCCAGTGGAGGAAATCGAGGAGCTACGAAGGCATGAAGAGGATGAAAGAGAAGCCAAGCAGTGGGAAGAACAACAAGACTTGGAACGATGGGAAAGACGGCAGGCCAGCAGGGCAAGGACATGGGACGAATGGGCGATGAAAAGCAAATTGGAGATGACACAAAGAACTAGACCACTCAAGAGATTTCGCGTTACTGTTCAATTACGAGATGGAGATGGTAACGACATGGCGGTAGCGGAGCTCGATGGGGAACTTACCCCACCAAAGGTGCCAATGGTCTCCTTCTCGATTCAGGAGAGCCTTGTCCAAGTCCCGGTCGTCACCAATGAAAAGGAGGGAAAGACCGAGGATAACGATGGCGAG